AGAATCTGAAATATTCTTTTTATATTAAAGTATTGTAAGCTTTTAAAACCACTGCTTTGAATGACCCCGCCCCTCCCCAACTCTTCACAGCTTAAAGGTGAAGGTCACAATTTAGAAGTCAGTTTCTCCCCCACCATCCTACGCAACGCAGCGAGCGCCCCTGCTTCTTGCTAGTCCCTCTCTCAGCCCCTTATCTTGACTCTCCCTCTAGAATATAAGGTCCTCCTCAGCAACGGCCTTGTAGATCTGCATCGCTGCTGTCTCCTTGCACTCAGCACAGGCCTGACACAGGAGAGCACGTGATGAGTGGACGTACAACACAGCGACAAATACATTATGGATCAAAATTTACATTTTAGGGGCTGGCCCCGTGGCTTAGCGGTTAAGTGCGGGCGCTCCGCTGCCGGCGGCCTGGGTTTAGATACCGGGCGTGCACCGATGCACGGCTTGTCAGGCCATGCTGTGGCAGCATCCCATATAAAGTGGAGGAAGATGGGCATGGATGTTAGCTCAGGGCTGATCTTCCTCACGAAAAAAAAAAAAAGTTAAAAAAAATTTACATTTTACATGCATTTTTAAGATAAAACTTAATTAGCTGTCCCTCTGATCAGAATGGGGTTGATGTTCTGTGGTAGATGTTCATTCCCCTTTTCTGCTCCCAGCAGTACTTTAGGGAACAATGAGAAGTCCTAACTAGACTATCCCATTGGTGACATTCTAGAGGTCTTTTGAAAATACAGGAAATTAGCAAGCAATAAGGTGGGGTTTGTGACTCTAAACAGAGATGTTAAGAGGGAGTCCACTTGGCAAAGCTAACACTTATCTTTCTAACCCGAAGTGGAATTTTGTAAGGGAAAAGTATGAACGAATGTCATGTAAGTCTTATTAACAATATCCTAAGAACTTCCAAAACGATCTTCAGACTAATAAAAATTTGTCTTTCACATCAAAACGCAAGAATGGACAGGGGTAAGAAAAAGTTAACATGCTTTTGTTTCAATCTTTCAGCAGATGATAAAGAAAAACACCTCCATTTCATAACGACAACAAATACTGAAACAGAGCCATGCAGAAACTACTCTGCTTGGAAAATCCCACTTCGAAGCCTTCTCTCTTTTGTAGATCAAGAGATACCTATACTTCTGCATCAATGTTAAAATTGAAATTATATTTGCCTCCATTTCTCAAGTGTCTCTGGCATACCCAACATCATGCTTCAGGACACTGCTAAAGGCTGGTGGGTAATAGCATTTTTAAACAACAACAAAATACTAAGAAGCTCAGAAGGTCACTGACTGTGAGGGTGAACTTGACAAAAGGAGAACTTGATAAACTAAGGCCTTTACTCATTAAATAACAGGTTAGTATATTTCACCAGCTAAATCAAGGGACCTGACAGGCTACTCTTCATTATGTCAAAAACACACCCACCCAACTGTTAAAATTAGTAAAGAGGTTTCAGTTAATTCTTCTAAAACTGGATTCTCCATTTACGATTTTCTTAAACAGAGAGACTTTCTGCCAATGCAGGTAGATTCCAAATGTCAAGCAGGTCAGTAATAAAATGAAATGCTGGAGAGAAACTTGAAAAGAGACATTTAAAAATGGGCTTAAAAAATGGGCTTAGCAGAGAAGTGACTGGAACGCACTGTGAAAAGATTACTATACTTCAGTACATGAATATTAACAGAAAAAACCCTGCAGTGTTCATACATAGTTATGACTTGATGAAATAATTACAAATAATGTAAGTCAAAATTTTAGATCAGTTACAAGTGTCTGTAATGATATTCTATTCATAAAAAGCAAAAATATTTTAAAACTCTAAGGGTCTCCATTGACAAAGCTATTTACCTAAACAAAGAATTCTTTTGCTCAAATATCTACCACCTTCTGATTTTTTACAAATGAAAATTAGGGAGAGAGTGCCAGAGGGAAGGGCAACAGAGTATTTAAACATTGTGACAGTCATTAAGTTCACATCTTGATTTAATAACAAAAGAGTTTAAGTTCTCAATTTATTATTATTATTAATCAGAGAGTTGCATTTGGTCAGTCTGGAAAAAAAGATGAGAGAAGTTAAAAGTTTGTGGGTAAGTAACAGAAAGTTCAGCCTATCAAAGGATTTCTGAAATCTCATTCTAGTACAAATAGTGTGAAAACTCTTGACTCCTCAGGGCACATGTTGTTTAATCTCAAGTGGTATTTCTCTCCTCTCACTTAAGTTAAATAAGAGTAGCAAAGAGACAAGTGTTCTGCACTCAATCAGGTGAAAGCTGTTTGAAGAGAGAGCTGAGCACTCTAATTCTGTCCCAGACACGGGACGTGGCAGACACCTTGTCAAGACTGAGCAGGTCAGGGCCGGCCCCGTGGCTTAGCGGTTAGGTGCGTGCGCTCCACTGCTGGCGGCCCGGGTTCAGATCCCGGGCGCGCACCGACGCACTGCTTCTCCGGCCATGCTGAGGCCACGTCCCACATACAGCAACTAGAAGGATGTGCAGGTATGACATACAACTATTTACTGGGACTTTGGGGGAAAAAATAAATAAATAAAAAATCTAAAAAAAAAAAAAAAGACTGAGCAGGTCATCCTCTTAGGAACTGCAGGACGAACCTGGCATCTAACCTGGCATCTCCTGCCACTAAGTTCATGACTAAGTTCATGTGTCACAACGGGCAAGTAATAAGTATTTCATAGCCAACTGTGAGTGCTAACAGACATTTTTTTTTTAGTAAATGTACTTGTGTTTTCCTCTGTGACAAGAGGATATTCCTCTTTTCATTAATCACCCTCCAAAACAAGTCCACTCCACAATACAAAGTTCAAAAACACAAAATATACTCTGTCTTTACCAAGCTAACCTTAAACAAACATCTTCGCCAAAGTGTAGATCCTTCTATTTCATGAGACCAGACTTAATAAAGCAATAGAAAAAGCTTCTTATTTTAAAAAGCTTTTTGGATTAAGAAAATAGACAGTAATTTATGTAAATGCATCAATCTCAATTGACTTCTCTAGTATGAAAAGGAATAAATATCGTTTTTTGGACAATGAGTCCTAACTCTGCCATGGACATGGCAAACACTCTGATGGAAATGGCAGGGATGTTATACAAAGGTGCTCATAAATAAATGTGTGTATGATAAACGTGGTTGCTGGAGACGGACATAGATAAATAGGTATGCAACTGGACAGAGATGCCTGGAGACAGAGGGAAAGACACTGATTCAGCTGTATCCCAATATGTTCACAGAGGTTTCACGGTCTAAAAAAATCTGAGACAACAGAATTTCTATTAAGAAGGTTAAAAAAGTGAGTTCCACCTCCTCTTGGACAATTTAGACTAATGCTATCTTAAGAATATAATGAATATGTCCAAAAATACACTATTATGTAAAACATTTAGGGACAAGAGAAAAGAAGCAGGTTCCTAAAGAAAGATGGACACTTATTAAATATCTTTAAATATCTAAAGCTGTTTAAATGCTATTAGATTGGCACCTAGAACCCCAAAATATCTACTATCCCCTGAGAAGGAGAGGCTATGCCTCTTCAATCATTCCTTAAATGCAAAGAGGTTTGACCCCCGTGCAATGGATAAAAGTCACCCAAAAAAATGAACAAAAGAGGTGTTTGGAAAAACCAGAACACCATTCATCCCAGCTAACGACTTGTTCATTATGAGTGATGATGGATAAAGACTTCTCATGCTGAGATGAAATCAAGATTTATATGCATTGTTTCCTCTCCCAACTTGTGGGAAGATCATCATCATTTAATTCTATCTCTGCGGCCAGTGATGGGCATCCAGAGAGCTGGTTATCAAACGGCGCAGTCAGCTGGCAAAAGCCGAAACGTGCAGTTGGCACATCTGGACGGAGCCGCCACAGCCGAGGGTGAACAATGACTCCTGGCAAGCATCCAAATTGCTTGCAGACGCTAGCAGGTCTCATCTACAACTGCCCCTACCAGCATCTCTCTCTCTCTCTTTTTTATGAGAATCAGATTTTCATTGCTCCATTCAATTGCTCTCCTCTGCCATTTTTTACAGCTCTTATCGTTCCCCTGGAATATGGCCTTGAGACAGCTCATCCGTGTCCTTCACTGTGTTATCTCTTCTAACTTTTATTAAAACTTCAGCTTTCATCTGAAGATAGCTAATTAAATCTGGAACAGATTATATGCCTCCCCTTAAAAAGAACACAAAACTATTTTCTTCAACCTGAGCAATGAATGCTTTTTTTCCTTTCCAAAAGACGAAACCAAAGGTGTTTAAGAAGTCTCATTTACAAAGCTATTTGACATGTCATATATAGGTTGATTTATATTAAAGTTGTCTGTGGTATGACAAATCTTTGAGCTATTTCTCAAAATAATTATTTCTCAATACTTGTAATATTTTTATTCTCATATCCTTTAAATATCACGGCTAATACCATACGCATTATTTTCTGTATAAAGTTGGGTAATGAGGAATTAGAGATGAACTGGTATTTGTGCACATCAAGTGATTTATCTTTTTAAAGTTTTTTTTTACAGTTGCCCTCATTGGGTAAAAATGAAAATATTTTCCTTTATTTTATACCCAAAACACTAGCAACTAAAAGTTTCCCATGGAAAATTATGTGAAAAAATGAAATTAAAAGCAGTGCTTCAAATTTAGGATTGATTTGGTTTTCAAGAAAGCTTTACATCAACTAACAGTTAGCTTAAGTAGCTTTGTCTTTAATCTGTTACAAATTATTAATGATGGAGCTTCCAGAACTGATATGAACACATTCTTCTCACATATGCCACTGGCCCAATCCCTTCCTTGGGCCCAGGAGCAGCTTAAAAATCACTTTTTTGCTGTAGACCTGCTAACCAAACCTTCTAGCAATGACATCTGAAACAATCTGGCCAGCCATCAAACACACACACGCACACATGCATGCACACACCAAGTCCTCTTAACAAAGGTTAAAGCTCCTATGGCTGCGGTATGATTTAACCGTCCCACCTGAAATTTTCTGGGATCCTTTTCTTCGCTTCACTGCCTTTAGCAAGATTTCTTTCATGGTGACCTTTGTGTTGTCCACCTGAATAAGGGAGAATCCATGAGCAGCATTTCTGTAGGAAAAGACAAATATTAAATCACCGCCAACATTCAACCAGAGGGATGTTAATGTGGTCTTCATGGTGTTTGAGAAAGCTTTAATACGTGTACATTGAAATGCCAATTATTTAAAAATAGGTTAAATAAACCTATTTCTAGTGTGTGGGGGGGAAGCACTCTAGTATGAACAGCTCCAAGTGACAGAGAGGTCATAGTTAGGGAAAGTTTTTCTAATTTATCTCAAATTGAATCTAATGGTCTGTGTGGGTCACTAGTACCATGGGTTCCTAGTGTTGGCTCCCAAGCCAAATTCTGCAGCAGGGATTGACAAACGATAAATTTGGCTTGTGTCAGTAGATGTCACTGTAGGCAGATACTACCACCATATTAAAGCTCATGGAGCCCTGGAGGAAAAATATCATGGGGTGGGGTGGGGGGATAAGATAGCCTATAGCAATTTAGAACAAGGAAAAGAAGGCTCTTTCTAACTGGCTAATAAATATATTTTTTTAAATATACAGTCTCTGTACACTTCAGTAGGAATATTTTAAAATACTTAGTCCTAGGGGCCAGCCCGGTGGCTCAAGTGGTTAAGTGCGTGCGCTGCACTGTGGCAGCCCGGGGTTTGCTGGTTCGGATCCTGGGCACGCACCAACGCACTCCTTGGCAAGCCATGCTGTGGCGGCGTCCCATATAAAGTGGAGGAAGATGGGCACAGATGTTAGCCCAGGGCCAGTCTTCCTCAGCAAAAAAAAAAAAAAAAAAAGGCGGATTGGCAGATGTTAGCACAGGGCTGATCTCCTCACACACACACAAAAATAATAAAATAAAATAAAATAAAATACTTAGTCCTGGAAGGTCAAACAAAGTATTAGCTGAAGCATAAATAATTACAAGACAAATACTAACACTACTTGTAAGCTTCTAGCCAATCAAACTAGGGGGGAGGGGGGTTGAGACTCATCTAGATAGGAAAAAACTGGTAAGGAACAAGTACTCTAAAAACAGAAGCCCATCCCTGGGTGAGGTATAACTTTACTAAGATTGTTAATTGCAATAGAAAGTATCACAAATACTACTCACTATGCTTGGGCACTGGAACAAAACAGGCCAATTCCAAGCAACTCATGTAACAAATGGGACCCAAGTTTCCAACTATGGAACATGGGAATTGCCACAAGGAGTTTGGTCCCATTCCCATTTCCCCACAAGAATCTCAAAGGGAAACACAGCCAAAAAAACATGGCAGAACTTCATACTGACAAGAAACCTGAAAGAAAAGCCAAGCCCCAAGCTAAGCTATGGAAAAGCTTCCCAATGGTAGGACAGGCTGGGAAGGGGCCTTACACCTAGCTTGGACTCAACCAGGTGGCTGGCTTTCCACAGGGGATGGGGGCCGATCTCAAAACCAAGGACCCAATTTGCTTCCCTAATACAAAGACATCTCCGCATCTCTCCTCTCCATACGGCTTGCTGTTTAATCCTTGACAACCCATTTGTTAAAAAGCAAAAGCCGACGCTGGTCTGGCCAGCACGATCATCCATTTTAACTTGGTCAAGTTCTTGCTATCGAACAGCAGGCCTGAGAACTGTCAAGCTAATTTTACTGAACACTCTGTTACTGAATCATGCCTGAGCCCCGGCCATTCTTTACCTCAGAAGCTGGACCCCATCCCAGAACAATCTTTAAAAGTTTATTTTACTGATCAAAGCAAAATAAGAAATAGCTCTTTTTTAAAAACTATATTTAGGGAGCGATGCAGTAAGTGATACTTTGGCAAGAGTACTGAAATGTAAAGTGCCTTGTGCATTTATAAACTTGGGGGTATTTGCTCTGGCGCTAGTCCAGTGTGTGTTTGGAACAAATGCCAATCATCCCCGTTCAGACTTGCCTTCCCCTGCTTTCTCCTCGGAAGTCAGTATGTGCTCCATCTGTGACAATATGTTGGGCAATGGATGAGTAGGGCCTAAGAGGGAACACAAGCTCTCGGGCACTCACTAACTAGTCCTGGGCTAGATCTCACGAACTTCCATCCACCTGAGTTCCACCTGAACTATTTTAAAGATTTTATTTATTCATTTTTTCCCCCCAAAGCCCCAGTAGATAGTTGTATGTCATAGGTTCACATCCTTCTAGTTGCTGTACGTGGGACTCGGCCTCGGGTTGGTCGGAGAAGTGGTGCCTTGGGGCGTGCCCGGGATCCGAACCCGGGCCGCCAGCATCAGAGCGCGCGCACTTAACCGCTAAGCCACAGAGCCGGCCCCACCTGAACTATTTTAGATTTGGGTCTACTTATAAATTGCTTACATTCTCTTCTAATCTGCTGCTGGCTGATACCATTATTTCAAACCAATACGTTTGTCTTTTTTAGCAAAGGCAGACTAAAAGCTCAAAATGAAGCCTTATGTTTGGACTAACTTCCATAAATTAAAAGTGTCCTATTAAAAGATTTTTGAACAGAGGAAAATCCCTAGTCTGTATTTTTCCATCATTTTACCAAAACGTACGTGGGTGACAAGGTTAAAGCAAGCAGAGGAAATCCCTGGCACTTATCATCCACAGGCATTACTGATAAATTGTGTGGTGGAGGAATAAAGGATTACCTTCTGTATTTTTTCATTACACTTTTCTTTTGTTACAGAATACATAAATCCATTGTGGCACAATGTAATATGTATCACCATGCTACACCTGCGGACGCTTCCGAGCGGCTGCCATGTCTGTGCAGTCAGGAATGATAAGTGAACCACCCGTGAATGTTAACGATAGTGATCATTCTGAGGTAACTCGGCTCTCCATCTTCCTTTACAGCCTCCGTGCTGAAGCCAGGGTAGCAAGGTTCATGAGAGGAAAATGAAAACAACAGCGAAGGGAAGGTGCCTTCACAAGTGTGCGGGATCTTACTCTGGGGCTCCATTTCGCTAAAAACGTGCACATTAAAGGGAGAAAGAGGTTGTGACCGGCATGCTGCACACTCAAGCAGACCTAATGAAAGCTTGCTCAGGTCAGCCCCGTGCTCACTCACTCCTCTCTCTCCGGACAAACACCAACTTTGGATCCTGTTCCAAGTCTACAGCACTTAAGGAGGTAAAATGTTTCTAATACACAAGAGTACAGAATATAAGTGGTTCTCAGAATCTATCTAGGTGCAACTGTTAAGTTATGCTCCCATTTAACAAATGGATATGGAGACTTGCTACCACAATTTTCAGCTTGACTTCCAAACATTCTGGGTTTTATGCCTCATTTCTTCATATCTAGGATTTTTTATGGGCTTTCTAAAAAATCTATTGAAATACATCTTTTAAAGCTGCTTTTATTTAATGTTGGGCATTGGGTCTGAGATTGAGAAGACAACGATCTCGGGGGAAATGCTGGCGGCACATAGGTAGGGTGCCGGTCCTGCCTCCCTTCCTTGTGGCACTGCATTCTAGTCTCTAAGGCGTGACCTGTGCTGAGGGTGACTAGCCCTCGGATGGACAGACAGATGGGCTACAAACCCAGAGTCTCGGCTCCTCCTCCTGCCCCCTCGTGGGCAGGCAGCTTGTTTTCCGCCAGTGCAGGGCACTGAGCAGAAGCAGCTGCCCTTCCACAGCTCCTTGGGCCGCCTGTGCTGGGTCTAGGATGAAGTACCACATCAGGGAGCTGACTAAACGCTGTCAGGAGTGCTCCAATCAATGCAAAGTTAGGTCCTGTCAAGTCTCGTAACCACTGAAAAACGTACAGCCATTTCAAAAAGAGATTACTCACTCGAGGAATTCAGCTGTCCCAGTTCAAAGCCACTCAGTTACCACAGGGAAGTTTTTATACCAGCATTAACCTAACACAATGAGCATTTCTTTACTAAGTATTAAACTAGAGGTGACGGGGGACAGGGAGGAAGTAGGGCACAGGTCTTCAGCTGGGAAGTTTAGATTCTATTTATAGGGACAGAGCTGGAACCAGAACCCAAGTCGGCAGTAACATATTGGAGAGGAAAACTCGTGGGCTGGGAGTTACCCTTTGGTTCAAATCCTGGTTCCACCGCTAACCTAAACGTTGCCATAACGTGTGGGAACCTCAGCTGCATCCATGAAATGAGCAGGCCACTCCCCTACAGAATTGTCAGGAGGATAAAATAGACAATGAACGCCAAGCACCTGGCACTAAGGCTGGCAAACAGTAAAAGGAGTTTATAAATGTTAGTTCTCTTGTCTTCCCCTTGTCCCAAGTCATTACCCCAAGAGAAGAGGCCCCATTCATCCCTTCTCCCCCTTACCCCCCCAGCTGAGATTACTTATTTGGGGGAATGGCTATCAACCCTGATTGCTTATAATTGGTAACACAGGGCCATTAAAATGTGCAATTTGCTGGTTGTGGTGGCAACATTCAGGGGCGCTGTTGGCAAGTAGCCTCTGGCCCAGGCATCAAAGCCCCCCTAAGCTCAAAAGAGAGCACCTTGGGCTCAGTTTTCAAGGCTTTCCTTTTTGAGAGAGTAAACCAGAGAAGCAGGTATATACCCCCTCAGCTTAACTCATTGGCTCTAGATGGGGATGTTGGAAGTCAAAAACCATAGTGGTGTTTCAGAGAAATTCCATGAGACTTATTAAGAGCTTTTTGATCTACGTAGTACAAAATGTTATTATTTGACAATTACAACTATAATAACAGCAACTACTATCTATTGAACACTTACTATGTGCCAGGTGCTGTGTTAAGCTTCTTAAATCTGTATTAACTCATTCAATCCTAAAATAGGTACTATTATTATATCCATTTTACAGAAACTGAGGTTGGAGGCATTGGGGAATTTACCTGAGGTCACTCATCTATTAAGATCCTATTTTGGACTCAGAAATCAACAATATGGTCCCCTAATCCAAGTAGCACAGCCCACTGGGAGAGAAAGACAAAGAAGGAAACAAAGAACTATAGTTGTGTGAGATAAGCACGAATTTGGAGGAAAGCTCAGAGTGCTGCCAACACAGGGGCCCTTAACCCAGCTGGGTGGGGTGAGGAGGTCAGAGAAGCTTC